CCCCCCCCCCCCAATAATAGTTTCATGGCCAAAGTGGTTCAAGTTTGATGGGGGATTTGTGCAGGTCGAGTTGGTGCTCAATAGTTTAAGTTACGTGAAGATTTGGCTGGCCAAATCGGCTTCTCGTCACACCGACGCAGTTGGTTTTCAAATGTCAACGGACCAAGTTCATCAAGAAGAAGGGCATAGCAAACTCGAAAACATGGCATAGGGCTGTCGATAGCTGCAGCTGTCTCCTGAATTGGAAGCCGGCGGTCGGCTCCCCAAGCTTCTTCGGGAGGCTTTGTGTGATTTCGGCCCGATTGACCCGGCAAATCATCACCTCGATTACATCATCGCTGCTCTGTCAGGTAAGTTCGGATATCGAGTTGATGAATATCAGCTCTTTTCTCCCTCTGGAGCGGGTTTATAGATTCAGATTTTGACAGTATTAGGACTTTTTGCTCCAGCTGCTTTGCTCCATTTTGCAGCGCCCAGCGGAAAAAGATTGAACACACCCTTATCTATGTCGTTTCGGTGCCTTTGAAGGGTCAATAATCATAGAGCTGGGTATCTAGGTCTTGTGAAGACAAGTTTGCTCTGGAGAATTGCTCATGTTTGGCCCTTCCGGCTGTCTGCTTCCAGAGACTGCAGTGGAACAAGGACACATCCAGACGTACACGGCGGGAGCGCCCAGTTCCAAATGGTTTAACATCCTAAAACGAGTGATATCTGTCCTGGTCAGCAGTCCTCCAGTCTGGCAAGAGGATATATAAGATAGCAAGACATCACCTGTCTCAAACACTCAGAAATCACTCTTCACCTTTGCACAAGAAGGAGGAATAGTCTTTTTGACTTCTTTCCCACTTTATCCCCTCATACAATCTCAAGCAAGTAGCTCTACCCTTTGAGACTTCACAATGAAGCTTGCCCTACTTGCCACTTTGGCTGCTCTCTCCGGAGCCCTCGCCGACCGTGTTGAAGTTTGGGAAAATATGAACTACCGTGGCCGGCAATCCTCTTATGTGAGTCCCTCCCGTCCCACTGACTTTTTCAACCTTTTTCGATTTCAAAACGCCACGCCTTTTAAGCCCAAGCTAACATCCAAGGGGTCCGTCCTAGGAAACCAAGTAAGTTCATAGAATATCTCCAATAGGGCATTTACCACCCTAAATATCCATATCACTGACTTGTGCTCCTTTCCCCAATCCATAGAGGAGTCACGAACGTCCCCTTCCTGTTCCGATCCTACTCCTGGACCCGATCACCAGGCAGCAACTGCTGCGCGGCGTTTTGCAAAGGGAGATCTGGTATGTTTATTACCACCTTCCCCGACTTCAAGCTCCCTGTATTCTAAGTGATGTAAGGGGCTAATATTGGGAAATCTAACACTTAGACCGTGAACATCTTCTGTACTTCCTAATAGCCGCCCGGAGTTTGGGCCAGGTGCTGATCGGGTTATCATCCGGTGTGGCGGTTCCGAGAATCGACTGCAAAAATGAAAAGTAGGTGAGCTCACCGTCAAGGAAAAGCAAGGGGTAGTCTTGAAGGAGGTCAGAGGATCCATATTGTGGCTTTCCGTCTGTGGAATAACCGCGAATGAAGCTTTGGGGGGGAAGGGCAGTTTTTGATTTCTAAGGGGACCGCTGGACTACCTACATCGAGATTTATGATTTCCTCACAGCAGTAATTTAAAAGATATTCGGGATGAGTTTCGACAAGTTTGAATTTTGACTGTTTTCCCAAAGCCTAGGGTTCTCGTTTTATTCATGATTTTATATTCGGTGTTTTGTCATATATAGATACATTTATCCAACATTGACCACCTAATTGAGGCCAAGTGTCAATGTAAATCGTCTCAAGTTTGGTATGAACCCTCATCCAAATCTTAATGAATCTCAAGACTCAAGTTCTGCAACATATGCGCCGCGTGCACAGTAAAGGTGTTGCCCATAAATCTTTGTGATCGAGGACAGGTATTCTGCAAATTCGATCTTGTAGTTTAGTTGGCGAACTTTTTGTGTGTGTCAATGACCTTCTGGACTTCATCGTAGCTGCCCATGAAAATGCCGCTTCTATCATGGATAGATTCGGGAATAATCTCGAGAAGTCGCTGCATCTGCGAGTTGATCGCTTGGCCTCCGGCGTTTTCGAAGATCATAGCCATGGGCGCACACTCATACAGAATTCGAAGCTTCCCCTTGGGGCTCTTAGAATCAGCTGGGTAGGCAAAGATTCCTCCGTAGAGGAGGGTTCTGTAGGCATCGGCAACCATGCTGCCGATGTAGCGGGAACTGTGCGGTTTACCACCGCTTGGTGGGAATTTCAGGTCGTGGAAATATTGCTTGACCCATTCCTCCCAGTACATGGAGTTGCCTTCGTTGACACTGTAGATGGCGCGTTTAGCGGGAAGACGCATATTAGGGTGGGTTAGGATGAATTCGCCGAGGGAGTTCTCCAAAGTGAACCCATTGACGGTGCCTCCTCGCATAGTGATGACAAGTTGGGCCGAGGCGCCGTACATTGTAAACCCAGAGGCCACAAGCTCAGACCCTGGTTTGAGGATGTCCTTTGCGGAGACGGTGTAGTTTTCTGCGAGGACTTCATCCGACAGTTTGAAGATGCCGAAGATGGTACCAACGGAGACACCGGCGTCAAGGTTCGACGAGCCATCGATTGGGTCGCAGACAACAGCATAGCGGGCATTCTTGCATTCATTAAATATAATAGCTTCGTCTTCCTCCTCTGAAAACCAGCAGTCGGCATTTTCCAGAACCACGCATGGAAGCAACAAAGAGATCGTTTCCGATGACATCCAGTTTCTTTTGGTCATCACCCGTGGTGTTCGAAGACCCAGCAAGGCCAGTGAGGTTGATCAGGCTAGCGCGTCGGATGTAGTAGGCAATAGATTTGAAAGAGAATTGGAGGGCGTGGCAAAGAAGACTGCATCATAAGGATCTTGGTTAGCGGCTGATTTCCCGAAGTGCACACTAGTTATACAGAACTTCTACATACGTAAAATCACCGGTAGCTTCTGGGTGTTTCGTCTGCTCTTCAGTCAAGAACCTTGTGAGAGTGACGATATCTGTGTTGATCGACTCGTGACCGACCGCAGACGATCCATTTCCGTTCGCCTCTGCCATGGTGGATTGATCAGTAGTGGGTATGAGAGATAGGATGCAGAGCGTCTGATCTGGGCGCAATCGAGAACAGGAGGGCAGAGTCGATGGAGGCAGAGCAAGCAGAGATGGTTGACTGAGAAGTCAATTGACGTGAGAAGCGAAAGAGGGGACGAAGGGGTGATTTTGGCCGTGAAAAGTTACCAAGCCGAGGACGACGGAATCAACGTCACTGCTGGAAACAACAGCAACGGCCCACCGGTAACGCCGGCGTAATTGGGAACCCGTGATCAGCATTCTCCCGCGAACAGCCGCCGCCGCAGCCAGCAAACGGCCGGGAGAAAGAATACACGGCGCCGTCACGCGGCGTATCAAGGGGTATTGAGTTTCCCCGACCTGCGGTACAGCCAGCACCAGAGTATCTTCATTCCTGCAGTTGAACCGCCGCTTTTGCAGTTGAGCGGATGCGAGAAGATGCTGCGCTGAGGAGTGGACAGCGAGGATTGCGCTGCTGTGTGTGCGCATCAGCGATGGCGGGCGTCGCTCTCGCTCTGTTCAACCCCTCCACGATTGCCCCGCGCTAAAGGCACAGGGTTTCCGAGCCGTTCTCGCTGGGCCCCGAATATGTCCGATGCGCCATGCTGGGGCCGTTATTATTCACTTTTTATCATATTTGAATTCTGGCAGGATGATTTCATTGGGAGTGGGTTCAACCTCAAACCGAGTAGGGCGGGGAGAAAAGGAACTGCTTCCCTATTGTAACGGTAATCGTCATTATTGGCTCTCCTGCTTCCAGACACTGCAAGGGACAGGGCATCAAAACCTTCGCCGGCCATCTATGTATAGGTCATCCGTGAGTATCCATTTTCAGTAACACAGCTCCAGGGCCCCATGCGGAAGCAGAATTCGACCGCAATTCAACGGCACTGTCGATGTTCTCATGATGTGTCATTGCCGTGATAGGTGCCCGTACAGCATACCGGGCATGGGCGTCTGGTTGGCATATGAGCCACCTGCGGAGATTTTGATAAACGTCCACCATAGACTCGACAATCTTGAAGCCATGGCCGGCACGCTCATCGTTGTTGTCGCCGTTTATCTTTCCGCTCAGAAGCCGAAGCAAACAAATCAAACATATGCTTGGCGCGACCCAAGCTAACTAACCGAGTCTGGCAAGATGCTGCTTGGCGCGACACCAAACAAAAAGCTTTCAATTTTTTCAAAATCCACCAGATTTTCTTCTTCAACAACCATCACAGCTTCCAGCAAGCGATGACAATGGACTCAAAACTGCTAACTCAGCAGCTGGCTGCAACAGCCAACAGCAACCAACTAATATTAAGGTGAGTGCCAGTCTATGTTCTCATGTTTCCGGTTCTGGTTTGCCCGCGCCCATTCTTGTGATGAGTTGTACAACCGCTAAACTAGAGTCTTTGACCTCTTGTGGTATGAAAATAAATTTTGCACGTCAGTCTGATCTTAATACACTCTTGGAAGGATCGATACTCCCTGTTGAGTTGTCGACGAAGCTAACAGCTAGAAAAGACAGGTCTCAATCAACCCTCTTGTCTTGAATGACTCTCCAAGTCAGGTATGTGCGATGCTCACAGTTCCCCGCTCTAATACCATGATGATTCTTTTCGTACATTTATATACGCTGGAAATTACCGACCGAGACCTTCGGGTCTCTGACGATAACAAATGGCTGATATCTGATCCTTCACCTTGTCAAATATTCCTAAGCAAATCATCTTTGTGATTACCAGCTGACAGTTGGAACAGGCTTGTCTAGATTTTGATGAGACGAGTAGCTGATGCTTGTTGCAATTGCCTTGTACGGCCCCCATTTCTTGCTCTATTCAGCAAAATCCTCATCATGATGAATGGCACTGGGCTCCGACGGTTTCGTATAACGATCCGGTTCGTGATGGATATGCCCTATTGTGGCAGGCCTAGAAAACCTCGCCCACTGATCCCTAATTCGAATATTATATGATTATGGTTATGATTATTTTCGTGACAACTAGCTGACTGGATGCTGCTCAGGCCTGGATGCAAAAATGCAGAGCTAGATCCATAGTCTGGTAGAGTATGTTGAACTTTTTTCCTTTTTGTTAGTTCTCATTTTATGTGATGATCTCTTAGATGACGAGTCCTATACGAGTACTCGATGCGGACACCCTTCTTATTTTACCATTCATGCCTTTCTGAAACATTGGCATACTTTTCTCTACTGGGCATCTTTCCGCTGGCGTATTCACTGACCGGTATTGAATTTAGTCAATGATATCTCTCAGTGGTCTGGCCGGTTCATAACTTGTGTATGTCCTTCCTTCGCTATCGAGTGTGCTGGCATTTTTCCATGATGAGCCAAGACTATAAATAAGACAAGCATATGTCCAAGCCGGTCTGCCGGCGACGACGAGACTGTCACTCGCTGACATCGTTTGGCCACCCGACACTTTGTTACATCTCATTCCATGCAGTGTTAAACTGACTATTATTTGGAATTAGAACAAAGAAGTCGAGGTATGGCAAGTTCCTTTATTCGGTAAGCAAGCCCACCGACCTTGTTCAACCTGCTGTACTCCTTTCATATGATGATTTCTTTATTTTTTATCACGACGGTCAACATAGCGTTTGCATTGATGACCACAGCCTGTGACAGGGCATTGATCTGACACTTATCCTTTCCGAATTTTATTTACCCGAGTCGCACTTATTGGGCGTATTTGCTGACTTGGCTCCAGGTGATCGCTTTTAGATTATCGTGACCTTCCGCATTTCTAGTCGTGGTTTGTGCCACAGTGGTGAATGTCCTTCCGTGTGAAGGGATAGATCATAAGCCCAGTCAGCGCTGAAGGCATCTCGGAGTCGAAAGTCTCCAGAGATCTCGTGCATCTGTTGTTACATAAATTTTGCCAAATCAATATGACACCCAAGTAGCTTCTAAACAATCAATAGAATCTAGTTTATTCAAAAATCACGGCGTAGTTATCGCCTCGTTTCATCGGGTCTCCAAAGCCATAATCGCATAAAAATGGGCATGTCTGCTCTTTTTAGGCATCCATAGGCTGTCATTGCAAGTTTTCTCCCCCTGTTTTCGACCAACAGCCACTCCATGGGTACATTTAGGTTCTCGTCCGGGATCTCTTGTGATGCACGGCTGCAGGGCCAGGGCCAATGATGCTGTTCTCGCGCTACCGGGATGCTGCCTGAGCAGCGAATCGTGGTTTTTGAATAGCCGCCAGCGATGCTGCCCAAGACCCTACTGTGCTAGACGCTGCTATTCTTAGCAACCCGGGCCGACTCCTCAATTTCGTGGCCCGCGGTGGACTGGTCTCATTGCTCGACGTGTCAGGATAAAAATAAAACATGCAGTCGAACGGAGCTGCTCCGCTTCATCGAATGCTTCCGCACCAATAACTGACCCCGTCGTTGAGCTGCTCACGGTCTTCCGTGCGTTCGGATTCAGCGAACACAGCTGCTAGCCTCGTTGGATGCTGATTCTATTTCTTGAATGGCTGCCGTTTCGTCTAGACCGCTTCCAACACGGCTGAGGCGACCATGAATAATAAGTAATTGCCCGCTTCTTCCATCTGCCCACGATCTCACGCTGCGTGCAAGAGTGCGACTGAGAGAGATACTGACTGCTCTTCCCCCCAGCCCCTTGTCACCCGGGACTGGAGCCTTCGACCAGTCTGGCGTCCCTGAGCTTCAGGTCCGTCAAGGTGGCTCGCTCAACACCAGTCCTCCGCGTCGTCGAGGCAATGTGGCCCAGCCTCCAGCTCTGGTGACGTCCTTGAGCGGCCTGCAGTTTCAAAGTCTGAATGTCCCTGCCAGCAGCGGCGGGTATCTGACGACTCCGACGACGATGAATTCTCCCTTCTTCTCCTCCGGCCCGCTCAGTGGGATGACCTCGCCGCTGAGTGCGAGGCCTACGCCGTACAATACTGCCTATAATCCTCAGGAATGGGGTCCCATAGCACCCGGATCCTCGCCTGTTGGAATCGGAGTGATTACCCCAGGAAACAACGCGACGCACCGTCCTCTTGTGAATCGCGCGGGTTGGTTATTTTCTCAAGAAATCTATATGCCTACCATCGGGATGCTGACCATCTCCCTCTAGATGCTGCCTCCCCGCCCCCGCCATACTCTCCTCCGCGATCGCAAAATCCAGCAAGCTCCAACTCTCCTCAGTTGCGGATGTCATCTCCAAATACAAGCGGGCTCTCACCACCGATGGTGCATCCGCGCGACTTGTCGCCGATCGGGCGTGCACGACCGCCACCACCACCTCCACCTCCTCCACCTCCGCTAGCCCCTGTCAATCAGTATTCCACGCCGCGTCCGAGGCCTGCGTCTATGATCAGCAGTAGCGGTTTAGATGCTCAGAATCAACAGCCGGTCTTTATGTCCCCAACCCAAAGTAGTGGCGCCCCCCACTCTTCCATGCGCACTGATAACTCCCCGTTGAATACATTTGCCGGCTCCTCAAGTCGGCATGGCATGCAGTCGACTGTGGTATCGCCGGGGAGAGTGTCTCCAGAGGCGTATCACGATTTGCAGGACTTGCGATCAATACCTCCAGCCGCCAGGAGGGCTGCATCCACTGGTGATATCAACCCCTCCACCAGAACGACATTTAGCCCGGATGGATCGATAACTTCAGGAGGATGGGAGCCCGGCATGCCATTGCCTCCCCCACCTCCAGGTCCACCGCCGAGAGCATCTCCGAGAGCTCGACAGTCTTCCCTCGAACCCCTGCCAAGTACAAGCGGTGTTGGCCGCAATAGACCGCAGCCTCCATCCACTGGAACTGCTTTGGGCTCTGTTCCGCCGACACCTGCAGGTTGGGCGGTCGAGACCACGAGGCGGGATGCGACAAACGAAACTTCAAGGAATGAAAACCAACACAATCTCATTGCTACAAATTCTGACCGTAGCCAACAGTCCTCATCTCAGACATCATTGGACGGCTCCGAGCCAACCGTGCCCATTTCTCGTCAGCCTACCCAGCGGGCTTCCAGCAGACCCGCCAATCCCAAGGAATTAAGAGAGCGTCGCATTGAGAGTAGAGGCGGCAGAGAAGCGGATAATCAAGGTGAAGCCGACGATGCTGAAGAATCTCATACTGCCTGGCCATCGAATCTTGTTTTAGGAAATCCCGGAGGCACTGGACTCGTCCGCCGTCGAACAGTGACCAAATCTACGCCTCGCAGTGCTCGAAGTCTCCCTTCTAGTGGCCATGACAGCGGCGGCTTTCCTAAAAGCCCGTTTGCTAAAACGACTTCATCCACCCCTTCTTTCTCTACTCCTAGAGCATTGCAACGGTCCGAACATTCACGATCGCCCCCGTTTAGTCCCCTAGTGCAACCGAAATCCCCAACGCCACAACCTGGAGTTTCGAGGATTCCACCGCCCAAAGCATTGCCCACACCGCCGTTTCAAGGCCAAAAGGATGCAGCCGCTTTGTCCGGCCTGACTCCTATTGTGACTGATCGAACCAGGCCGATATCGCACCTTCTTCATATACCAGTGGATGAATCTCCGTCCGATGTTCCATTAGTTCCGACTCGATCACCAAACCCGGTCTTTACACCTTCCGCTATCCGGCTGCCGGGACGAAGCCTTCCTTCGCAACGCTGAACGTCGATACCGCGAATTCCTTGAGAAGGAAACTGACTCGCGAACCGACTCGGACGCTTTGAATATTTTTTGCGAATTCATTGTTTCGGAATCCCGTATCAGACGTCAACGATATTCATCCGTTTGGGAAAATGGGAGCTTTGACGCCAGCGAACTGGGAGAGAAGCTATTCGCGCCACAAGCGAGTAGTGAGGAAGAATCGACGGTCCCTGAACTACCTCCATCACGCACCGGGAATCGATTAGAGAGGGGTGAGTCTGGACTTTGGGGAAACAATTTCAAGCCGGCGTTATCGACCATAGCTAGCATGAGCATCAGCAACGACGAAATGAGCTCACGCGGCAGACCAGCCAGCCGATGGTGGGAATCACAAACAGGTTCTGAGTGCGGTGGAAGCGGCCAAGGTATGCGCCGTTCAAAGCGGGAAAGTAAATATATGGGCCTTCATCTGCGCGAGGTTATGGAGCAAGATTGCGGTACATCGCCAGTCGCGGACAATCCAGCACTGTACACGAACAATCCATTCTTGGTTTATGGACCTAATGAGTACCCACCGGAGAAAGTGGGCTGGCATGAACAATTACCAGCTACTCAGGCGGGCGTCCGTCGGGCATCGTCAAATCGCGAAGCCCAAAAGTTAGATATATCCAGGCTTGTCACCCTGCCACCACCGTACCCACGACATTACCCTGGTGTCAATAATAACCATCCCGACCTCGGATTCTATCGAACGACTGTCAGGTCGGTAACCGAGCTGTCTGAATTGCGAGAAACATACCAGAATCATGAAATGAAATTTCAAAAGCTTCGAGAAGATTATCAGCGGAGGATCAAAGAGGAGCGCCAGGACTTCCGTCTTCGTGTGAACCAAGCGATCGAGGAGGGCACCATTACGTATGCAGAAGCCGCTGAAGCGGAAGCAGGCCGGAGAGCCAAAGAAAACGATCGAGAGAAACAATTGGCGCAAAAGGAATTCGATTCATATCAGGAGGAAGTCCTTCGGCCGATGCAAAGCGTCCTTAAGGATCGGATAAATGTCGTTAGCGCGTGTATCAACGAACTTCAGGAGAAGCTATTCGACTCTGCTGAGAATCAGACCCCGAATCAGGCACAGGAAGAAGGCGATGAACGCCCTGAACTGCTCGAGAAGCTAACGCAACTCAAGTGGCTGTTTGAAGCTCGTGAGCAGCTCTATCGTGAAGAATACGATCTGCTCAGCAAGTGCAATGAGAAGTTCCGGACCGTTGTTACATTGCCATATCAGCAATCCAAGAACATCGAGAAGATAAAGGAAACCGATAATTTCTTTATTCGCGATGCGCAGACTCGACAGGCTAATTTCGCATCAGAGACGCTGATGCGGTTTGAAAACATTATGACTGTCATTGAATCGAACGTTAGCAGAGGTGTCGAAACACAGCTTTCAGCGTTTTGGGATATTGCTCCATCCATTCTCACGGTGCTGCAAAAGATCCCGGAGGACCTTCGAGGCTTCACAGTGATGATACCCCAGAAGGAATACGATGAGAATCCTAGCTATTACCAAAACCCGCTGCAGTACCTCTACTCGCTCCTTTCACATGCAGAAAAGGCAACGTATCAATTCATCGAATCCCAAACCAATCTCCTCTGCCTCCTGCACGAAGTTCAATCCGGTCTCACGCATTCGAGTTGCAAGTCAATGGAAATACAACGGATTAATTCCGGGGAGCCAGCGGAGGCGGTGAAGGCGGAGATGCAAGAATCGCTGTCAGAGGAAGAAAGAGTCCTCACAGCCGATCTGAAAGATAAAGTGGGCATGGTTGAAGATCAATGGCGAGAAGCCTTGGGGTCGCAGTTGCAGAGTGTGAAGCAGCGAGTCCAACAGCGACTCATGGAAGAGGGAGGATGGGATGAAGTTTTGCAAATGGAGCAGACATAAAACCATGGTGTTTTTCGTTTATATTTTTTTTTGCTATTTATTTTCGCTGTACCTTACTGGAGGCATTCTGTTCGTGTGTGATTTGACTGCTAGCTGCGAGAGATACCCCATTCGTTCGTTTGTATACAGGCAGATTTATGATTTTGATGATGATTACGGTAACTAGTTGATGAATATGGACTGAATTGATATCCCTTTTCGCCGGGCTTCAAATATTCTATTTCTATTATTTTGATCGCGATATCCATCACGTGACTCGCCGCAATTTTTCGCTTTCTAGAGCTTTCTAACAGACTCGCCGGCTTCAAAACCCACTTCTCCTTCAACCTCCCAATTCTTCCCTCACTTTCAACTTCATTGCTCGCCTCCCCCGTGTCAAGCCGTACTGTCTCTTCACTGCTGTGAGTATACTATCCTTTTCTGCGCGTTCTCCTTGAAATAGCTTTCATATGATGAAAAACTTTCGCTGGCACCAGTCCTAGAAAGACTTGTACTCTGTTTGCTGCGGACAACCCCCTGGCTTAAAAAAAGCCGTTTATCTGATTGAATCTTCTGCTACGATATTTGCTTTGGTCTCCTTCTTCTTGTCGTCGCTAGACGCAACGCTGACTAGATTCAAGCACGTAATAGGTTCCATCCGTTTTTCATCAAGTGTCCACAATGGTGCTTCATAACCCAAACAATTGGCATTGGGTCAATAAAGATGTGTCGGGCTGGGCGAGGGACTATCTTCAGGAGAAACTGACGGTAATCTCTGCTGAGGAAAATGGTGTCACTGCAAAGATATCCAAGGTGGTTAGCATGGATGGCGATGTCGATGTCAGTCAGAGGAAGGGAAAGGTCATTACGCTTTTTGATGTCAAGTTGCAATTAGATTTTGAGGGTATGCTTGCCCATAGCAAATTGAAAATTACTGTGAATAGAATGAGTAACTCACTGTGGGTTTTTATAGGCTCGACAAGCGAGGATGAAAATGTCACTGGATCCATTAAAATCCCAGAGGTCGCCCACGACACCGAGGAGGATGAGTATGTCGTATGTTTTTTCCCTTGAACTGCCAATCGATCGGATTCATGCGTCTAACTCGTGGCGGGGGATAGTTTGATATCAGTCTCTATTCCGAATCTGCCTCGAAACAACCGGTGAAGGATCTTGTTCGTTCGAAGCTTGTACCGCAGCTTCGCACCGAGCTCGTCAAATTAGCCCCCGCTTTGATCGCAGAGCACGGTAAAGATATTCAGCATGCGCCCGGATCCAACCCAGGCAGCGGCTTTGCGACGCCCAAGTATCTTTCGAATAACTCTCCATCCACCCCACAACCCACAGCACAAACAACCACAGCGGCCACGCGCAAACAGGCTGTAAACACCGTTACTGTCACTGCATCGGATGAGTTCCGTACGACTGCGGAGGAGATGTATACTACCTTTACCGATCCCCAGCGCCTTGCCATTTTCACCCGTGCCGCTCCGAGACGATTTGACGGTGCCGAAGTCGGTGGCCAGTTCTCCATTTTCGACGGAAATGTTAGCGGTGAGTTTGTAAAACTCGAAAAGCCAACTCTTATCGTTCAAAAGTGGCGCCTTGCCCAATGGCCGGAGGGTCACTACAGCACCCAAGAGATTCATTTTGACCAAAACGACGTCGACTGCGTTACCTCCCTGCGTGTCAAGTGGGATGGTGTCCCTATCGGACAGGAGGACGTGGTGCAGCGCAATTGGGAAGTGTACTATGTCAGGAGTATCAAGCAAGCTTTCGGGTGAGTTCAGTTCATTTCGTTGTTTTTTCATGCTGTTTGTTTCCTCTCTGCCGACACGGATTTAGAGCCCAAATCATCACTTCACCCCGTTGCTCTAAACGGCCTTTGCATAGTACATTACTTTATTCGATATGTTGCTTACTATTTGCCCTAGGTTTGGCACTATTCTCTGATCGAATCGCGACTATTTTTCCCCGAATAATTCCATATCGGATAGTAGATATCTAGACGAGCCGAATGGGAGCCGAAAAGCCATAGCGGCCGACATGCATTTGCTCTAGCGTTGAGGCGTTTGTTATGATTTCAAAGTATTTGTTTTTAGCCGTCGGCATGGGTGCGAGGAGTCTCGACAGACTGGTATCAAGGAGGCGAGGGTTTAGATAGGATATTTCTGCCCGTCGCCGGCAGATGACCCTTTAGGAACGAGCATATGACTGATGTGAGATGCATGATGTACCTTAGGACCAATAATCAGCAAATTTGAGTTCCTACAAAGAGCCCATCTCTGCAGCATTTCCACTGTCGCCGGCGACAACACTGCTATCCCTGCTGTGCTCTCCTCCTTGTTCATGTGGAGTGTGAAGGCATATCCGGTTGTCATACCATGCCTGCAGCGCCTCGCTGGCAATTCATTCGACCATTCCTCCATGATCGACCCGCCAGGAATACAAACCCTGTCACACCCAGAAACTCTAGAGCTCACTAGGGTGCAGATCCTTTCTCTCTCTCTCGCCGCCGGCGTCCATCGTGGTGATATCTTTTGTTCTTCGGCACCTTTTAGCAAAACAATATCTTTTCCAAGGGCTTCAAACAAGTCGGCGGCCTCAACCGTCCAGTGGCAAATGCACCCGCGCGCCAGGAACTACCTTGTTATCACTCGATGACCTCGCTATCGACATTGGCGCACAAGTCTTGGAGGGACGCATATATATGATTACTCGACCTCAACGGTGCTTTGAGAGGCCCGTCGTTGCCGATCAGAATCGATATTATATTCTGTTTTTGCTCGGTTGTGCACCATGATGTACTCTGTCCTCAAAGCGCTGTGCGCCATCCCTCTACTCTGCAGCGTCGCTGGGAGCGCAAAGACGAGCTTTGCATTGCAACAGGAAGAAACCTTGGACCAGTGGCTTGAAGCAGAGGGTACTTTTGCCCTCCAGGCAATTCTCGACAATATTGGACCCAACGGCGCCAAGGTACGCGGTGCCCACGCTGGCATTGTGGTTGCGAGCCCGAGCAAATCTAATCCAGATTGTACGTACCCGCCAGTGCGTTGGCTTTACTACTGTTGGTTGCTGTTTCTTATATACTGACATGCGTGGTAGACTTTTATACATGGACTCGGGATGCCGCCCTCGTCTTCAAACAGCTTGTCGACACGTTCATTGCTGGAAACTATGACTTGCAGGATAAAATTCACGAGTTCATTACCGCCCAGGCGGAATTACAAACCGTGTCAAACCCATCCGGGACGCTGTCTACTGGTGGTCTCGGAGAGCCAAAGTTCCATGTCAACCAGACGGCGTTCACGGGCGACTGGGGCCGGCCTCAACACGATGGGCCACCACTGAGAGCTACCGCAATGATAACATATGCGAAATGGCTTGTTGTAAGGCCCCCTGCATTGTATGCCATTTTGAAGATGTTGTGTGCTGAATCTCGCGGGCTTAGGATAATGGGCATGTAGACGCTGCGAGATCGATTGTATGGCCAGTGGTGCAAAATGATCTCGCATACGTTGGTCAATACTGGAACAGCACCGGGTTTGGTATGTGGCATTCCCATATCCCCAACAAGGGCACACAGGCTGACAATCAACGCAGATTTGTGGGAAGAAGTCAAAGGCTCCTCTTTCTTTACAGCAATTGCACAACATCGTGCACTTGTGGAAGGCGGCAATCTTGCTCGCCAGCTTGGAGTGGACTGCTCTCAGTGCGAGTCCCAAGCGCCACAGGTGCTTTGCTTTTTGCAGTCGTTTTGGTCCGGGACAAATATCATTGCGAATTTCGGCGGAGATAGGTCGGGTCTTGACACAAATTCCATCCTTGGGATTATCCATAATTTCGATCCAGAGGCTGATTGTGACGATAATACCTTTCAACCCTGCTCGTCAAGGGCGCTTGCAAACCATAAACGAGTTACAGACTCCTTCCGTTCAATATACCCTATCAACTCCCGTATTCCGAGCGATCAAGCCGTTGCAGTTGGCCGTTACGCCGAGGATGTTTATTACGGAGGGCAGCCATGGTATTTAGCAACGTTCGCCGCCGCTGAAATGCTGTATAACGCTATTTACCAGTGGAATCGCACCGGCGAGATGAGCATCACCGATGTATCATTACCATTCTTCAAAGGCGTCTATAGCTCGGCTCAAGTTGGAAAATATTCGGCATCATCCAGAGCCTTCTCGGACATCATGGCCAACGTTACAAAATATGCAGATGGGTACCTGAACATCGCGGTAGGATATCTATATTTCCTCAAATATGGTCATTCACTAACGAACCACAGAGGAGATATACACCATGTTCAGGGGCACTAGCTGAACAGTTTTCAAAGGCCGATGGCAGGCCACTCTCTGCATCAGACCTGACTTGGTCATATGCTGCTCTTCTCACAGCAAAGGAGAGACGAAATGCAATTGTACCGGGGCCATGGGGTCAAAAGTCTGCCCATGATGTTCCGACGACCTGCTCAGCGAGCCCAGCCCCCGGACGCTACCAAACTGCGACTATCACAGGGTGGCCATCGACGCTGACTCCCGTCCCAACTAGTCCAACGCCATGCCCAGCCCCGAATCGAGTCAAAGTCACTTTTCAGTCAATAACCGAGACAAAGTGGGGTGAAAACATCTTTATCGTCGGATCCGTTGCTGAACTGGGCTCGTGGAACCCCGAGGCGGCAACGCCTCTGAGGGCGGACAAGTACGAGGATTCTTGTCATATGTGGTACGCGCAAGTTGATTTGCCTGCCGGAGCAAGGGTCGAGTATAAATACATCCGCAAAAGTGGTGATGGAAAAGTGGTGTGGGAGAGTGATCCGAATCGATCGTATAAGATCCCGAAGAAATGTGGTGTTTCTTCGCTGACTTTGAAGAGCAGCTGGCGTTGATATCTACTGTATTCATTTAGAAGGCATTGATGATAATTAGCCAAGAGTGACAAATAGCTTGCTTTGTGGGTATATTCTACAGCACATATTCACCAAAGTACAACCAAACGCCAGTACACCATGGGTATTCCAAACGCGAGTCGATCTACTGGCGGCGCATCCTCCATAGAAGAACTGAAATAGCCAACGCCAATAATGAAGCATGGACAAGCATGTTCTGAGCAACCAGGGGCTGAAGACGGATGAAGAGAGAAAAGTAATCATCCATCAAGCTCCTCGAGAGCATCACTAGCTCTGTAACCTGGTACCGTCCAGCACTTCTCAATAACAGCTCTCAAAGGCAAGGTCATCATGGACAGATCAGGAAATTCCCGTTTCGAGAAGCGCGTATATATCTCCTCCGCGCTCAGGTCCTTGAAAAACCGCTCTCCCCTGTCGAGTTCGTAAAGAACCGATCCCAATGCAAAGACATCGTCTTGTTCGGTTGGGTATTCCCAGGTGGAAAGCGGATTTGCATAGCGAGTCCCATGAGCGACATGAGAATTGCATCCGCCCACGCTAGAGCCTGCAAAATCACACAGCACAATCCTGCCGTCGTCGTGGAGGAGGAAATTGTGAAGGCCAAGGTCGGCATGCACGATTCCTCGAGGAGTTGGGCGATCGTGCGACCACAAATTTACAGGCTCCCCAGGGCAGCCCACCTATTTCATACCAAAAGCCACAACTTTGAGAACTCCCTGGGGCAGATTCATATCAAGCCATGACTTCCTAGGCTCCGCTAAATTCCGCAACGCAACAGAAACCACTGGGGCGGACCACGATTTTTGCAGTGAGAGCAGAGTTTTCCACGCAACTCGGGATCTTACAATTTGGACTCATTATATGCCTGACACAATACGCACAGAAAACTCCCGTTTTATTTAATGGCCATCTTGTGGATAATATCAAGCCATATCCCCTTGAGGAGCATCTCGCCGCTTTGCATTGTCTCTAGGGCCATGTCTACCCATTTAAACAGGAGTCAGATGGACCAGCCCCTCTATATTTCTACCGTTGACGCTGAGCCACTTCATCGCTATCGACAAGGTGGTTACCACCCAGTCACTTTGGGGGAGTCCTTGAAAGCTGGAAGGTATAAGGTGCTGCATAAACTAGGGTGGGGAGGCTACTCAACAGTTTGGGCGGCGAGAGATCAATGGTTGTACAAGCTGGAGTGACTCGCGGTAGTTCTAGCGAACTGAAAAGCTGCTTGTTTACAGGGAAGAGACGTACGTTGCTGTCAAAATTTCTGTTGCAGAAACTGAATATGACGGGGACACACGAGAACTCCAAACTATGAAAGTGTTGGCATCTCATCACCCTCACCCGAAACATACAGTGCACATGCTCGATGACTTCGATATAAAGGGCCCAAATGGATCTCATAAATGCCTAGTTTATGAGCTTCTAGGGCCCAATGTTCCAGACGCAATTGATGCGCACTTTCCAGATGGGAGACTTCCTGGAAAGCTCGCCAAAGTCATTGCAAAGCAATGTTTGATCGGGCTCGATAGTTTGCACCAACAAAAGATTGGACATGGAGGTAAATCACTTTCTTGGAAATACTTTGGATGGTGCTCACCTGATATAGATCTGCATACCCGCAATTTGGCCTTCTCTATGCCTTACATAGACGATTTGACAGAAGAAAGGTTTACTGAGATGTTAGGAAAACCGGAAATTGGCTATGTCAAGAGACGCGACGGGAAATGCCTGGAACCTGGAATGCCCGAATATATTGTGAAGCCTACCTCATATCGGACGCTTTCTCGGAATCTGGTTCAGACTGTCAAAATAATCGACTTCGGAGAGTCATTTTTGCGCACTGCTGTTCCTGAAACACTACATACACCTTTATCTCTTCGGGCACCGGAAGTTATATTTCAAGATCGCATTGATTATCGTGTCGATTTGTGGAGCATGGGCTGCATGGTGGGTGAAGTCATCCTCGGATAATTCTCAAAAAAACCAAAAACTGATAGGTTGGCAGCTCTTTGAACTGTTCGTGGGCCAACCACCTTTCGACACCTTCTTGATAACGCCCACAATTCTTGTTGGCCAAATGCGAGAGACGACAACTGATGATCTACCTGAAAGATGGCAAGAGAAATGGAATACGATGAACGCAGGGGACGGCATGACCACAGAAAGCTCTGGTTCGAACTTGCAGGAATGGCTGGAAGAAGTATACTTTGATAGCCCGCTGAGCCCCGATCTCACACGAGAGGACATAGTGAGGCTGGGACAAATCGTTGGAAGGTTATTGCATTTCGAGCCGTCTGCAAGAGCGTCAGCGAGACAAGTTCTTAATGACCCTTGGTTTAATGAATGACCCCATGACCAATAGTCATTACGCTGTTAAGGCGTGTACGGAAGTTGTCCTCATTCCATTGTACTGTACCTAGCAATTCTCCCTCCTTCGATTTCAAGCCTGCGTGCCGAAAATGGCCTCTAGCACTCTCTTCTTTTGCACTGACCACATCAATACACCAACCAAGAAAGGCATCGAAGCCTTGATATTCAATCCCCGCAGGTTTGCGGGATCATGGCCCCATGTATGCCTGATCAGTTTCTGACGGAAATTAGGGACGCGTATTCCAGACGATCTTACCTCATCCATGAGTTCAAGGACCATTATTCACTACAGGCGAAGAAGGAGATGACTGTAGAGGGTGAGTTGGAAGGAGATCTGAATAAACACAAGTTCGTCCGAGTACTAACTGGTCCTAGACCTGAATGCACGAACAGGCAATGTTTAACACAAGAAGAATGGCTGTGGCAATACCCAAAGACAACAGAGACGGAGTGAATGTGGTCTAACTAAGTATTACATGAATTCAACTGTCTTCTTGACAAGAACTTCAATTTGAAGCTGACTGATTTTGGTCGTGCCACCACTGTTGGACAGTTTCTTGAAGATGCCATGCCTCCACGCGCCGGAATGATTGTTGCTGGACCATTGAAAGACACCTATGGTCTCTACTCTGCTAGAACTGAGCAATTTGCACTTGGAACCCTTCTGTACTTCATGGTATATGGCCATGAGCCCTACGAGGATACTGAGCGAGAACTCAGTCGGTCAGAATTTGATCGCCGATTTGGAGAGATGGAGTTTCCAGAACTAAACCGCCACGAGGTTTTTGACGGCCTTATTTCTGCTTGCTGGCACAATGTCTATCCTACCATGGCTCTAGCAGCCTACGATTTCAAGCGCAAAACAAAGGACATTGCTGGCTCTATGGAATATGAGACCATTGATCGCGCCAGGGAGATAAAGAAATGTGAAGTCCTCCTTCAAAAAGGCATACTCGGGCATGAAGTAGCGCTTCGCTACAACCATTTTGGTGGAGATATTTACACGCAGGGAAAAGCATGTTGTTTTGGAAGGTCCTGATTGATCTACCAAGAAGAATCCGGGTCTGGCTCTCGTTTTGATCAAAGAAAAGAATATCTTTCATAATACCGCTTCTGATAGACAAAGGGTGGCTAGCACCGTTTCCTTTGCACCCAACAGGTTAGATCCAGTGTTCTTCGGATGGTTTGAGCAAAAATCTCCGTGTGCAACTGGGCGGCATGGAGGTTTGTAAGTGCCGCATCGCCGGAATGTGTCTCAACCAGCGGAATGTCTGGGAGGCTAGAATCATAAGGCCATCATGAGAATTACTCATAGCCCAGGTCGCATCGGTGGACATGACGCCGACGCTACCGACCTCGTATTGGCGGTGACATTGTTATAAAACTAACGACGAGAACCTCTCGAATGGCACAAGCCACCAAAACGCTTGAACCCCCAACAGCGAGAGAATAATCTGCTGAATAGCAATGGCAGCCCAAATCCCCGACACCACCCGCGCCGTCTTCCACAATCCCCAGGAAGACTCCTTGACCCTCATCACCCGCCCTCCACCCACTCCCAATCTCGCTGCAGACGAGCACCTCCTCCGCGTCCACACCACCGCCCCCTGCGCCGGCGAACTCACCTGGTGGACATTCGGCATCCCCAAGCCCCCCACCGACCACATCCCCGGCCAAGACGTCGCCGGCACCATTGTCCTCGCCCCGCCCACCTCGCCCTTCCAGCCCGGCGCCGCAGTCTACGCGCGCATCCCCTGGACCAGACAGGGCGCGGCGCAAGAATACACCATCGTGCTCGGCTCCGAAATCGCTCCGACGCCCAAGACTCTGGACTTTGCGCACGCGGCCACGGTGCCGATGAGCGCGCTGACGGCGTGGCAGATGGTCTTTGACAAGGCGGGGTTCGCGGGGCCCGAGGACGGGGCGATCAGCGGCAGGTCGCTGGTCGTTACGGCGGCGAGTGGGAGTGTTGGCATGTGGTGCGTGCAGCTGGCCAGGGTTGCGGGATTCGAGAGGATCGTGGGCACGTATGGCGGGGATGCGGAGGCCGGGGAGCTGCTGAGGGAGCTGGGCGCGACGGAGTTGGTTGACTACAAGAAAAGCAGCCTGGCCGAATGGGCGTCGCAGGATCCGGGGAGGAGAAAGGTGGACTTGGTGGCTGATTGCTTTGGCAAGGGCGCGCTTGCTGATGCCTGGAGTGTCGTCAAGGATGGCGGGCGCGTGGTCAGCGTGTGTGAACCGCCGGAGACCAGGAGGCCTGCGGATTGTCAAGCCAAAAATGTCACGTATGAGTGGTTCATCATGGATGCAGCCCGTGGAAAGGATTTGGCCAGAGTCACGGAGTTGCTAGAGAGTGGGAAATGCAGGGCAATCTTGGACTCGGTCTACAAGTTTGACGACTTCAAGCAGGCATTTGAGAGAGTCGAAGGGAGACATGCAAGAGGAAAGGTGGTGATCCAAGTGCTGCAGTGATGAACCATTAATGACGCTACGAGATGGAACGGTTATGACTGTGAATAGTTTTAATTTTTAATGCCTTTTTGAACCCCGGCCTTGAGCGGTTATGCCTATAAAGCCTAAGAAAAATCTATGCACGATGGGAATTTTGGACCGAAACGTGGTGTGCCGAAACTAAGTCCGGAGCTTCCTCCTAGACGGTCTTCTCAATCATCTCAATGTTGTAGCCCTCCTTTAGATCTTTGATCAACGGAGTGCAGATGTCCATGGTCATGGGCGCCAAGATGCCCTTCATCATCAGTTAGTTCCACCGTTCGGCAAGGAAAGGATTTTTAAAAGACAGCATACCTTTTTGCTAATAGTTCCGTCGAGAACCTGCTTAACGGCAACGGCACAAGGCACACCCACCAACCGAGCCATAGAAGAGTAGCCGTTTGGATCACCATAGTCGCACAAGGTGCTGGTTCTGGTCTCCTTGCTACCATCCTTGTGTTCAATCTCGAACCTATGTTGCAGCATCACCATGTCCCTCTCTCCGGGACCGTACTGCATCTTCTGCTCCAGGGTTGCGCAGAGTGTATCGAGCGGGTTGCCACGAGGCGTGATCTTCTCATCGGAGAATAGGCCAATCCAGCGAAGACCGGCAAGGATGCGGTTTTTCTCCTCTGTGGATGGGAATTGAGTCTTGGAGGAGATGGCCCATGCAAGATCCTTCTCGTCGGTGGATGTAGCACCGAGAATTTGCTTGGTGGCTTCCTTCCCAGGGAATGGGGGACTTGAGGAAATCTCTAGGCTCGTCACTGAGGAACCCAATGTCAACGAGGACGTGGATCATTTCTGGGAAACCTTGGAAGCGGAGGGTGCCACGGATAACTGTCTGAGCTTCGGGAATGTTGTATCGCTCCTTGTACATTGTTGAGTCACGGTTGGGGTATGCAACAAAGGCGAAGCCTGGGTAGATGAAGTATGGTTTGGCTGTGCCCATCAATTCGGGGCCAGATACAGCCTCAATCTTGCCATCCTTGTAGTACTTCGCGTCATTGCGGAGGGCTAGGAGGACACCTCTGCTGGACCAGGAGAATTTATATCCGAGAGGATTGTTGGAGCATTCGGGCGCGGGAAGACCACCGCAGTATGACAAAAAGGAGGTGATTTTACCGCCAGCAGCGTGAACCTATCACGATTTTTAGCCATTATTCTAAAGCCTTACTTTGCGAAATGAACCAACCTCAGAGATAGTTTTGACAGCATAAAGATGATCAATACCCTATGGACCCCAAGATGGTCAGTTCTGTTAATCACCACAAGTTTACCTTGCTCTCCGCCTGCAACATACTGGGTCAAGACCAATCTCATTCATAACAGTAATCCCGGCCTCCTTGGCTTCCTTCTCCAGCTCCAGCATCGCTGGGGATACATAAGATGTCGTCACCACATTCTTCTTCGTGCGAATAGCGCCCTTGATCACGGTGGCATGGTAGGTATACGGAATCAGAGAAACGACCAGGTCGTTCTTGGAAAGCTCAGCGTCGAGGGCTTCGCTGTTGTTCACGTCAAGGGAGATTGGATTGGTGTTCTTGATGCCCTGGCAGAGCTTCTTCGCAGACTCGAGCGTACGGCAAGCTATTCAGGTTAGATCACTTGCTCGCGAAACTCGGAAGCCAAACATCGTTTGTGTTCCCGCGGTAGTCGGAGAGCGGGGGAAACGCACCAACTGTGACCTGGATGCCGGCATCGCTAAGGATCTCGACCGTCGGTTTGGTGACTGCCAATTGACAATGTCAGTACGTCTGGCTTCGCCGGTGGGATGTCTTGAGAGATTGAATACCAAACCCGCTTCCGAGGCTAGATGGAAAACACTTAATATCAGTACAAGATTGTTTGATCTGAAGCCGCGCCCGGTATCGCAGATGAGAGTTGGGCTTGAGAACTCACAGCAGCACCTTGCGACCTTCGTAAGACTGAGGCATGTTTTGTTTGCAATTGAACCAGCGGTCGGAGATAGAACAGTTACTATATTGAACAGCAATTGAATGGAAGATGTTGAGAATTGCAGATCCAGCTGTCCCCCACTTTGTTGATAATTTCCCCTCGCTCTTATCTTCACCGCAACAGAGAGATGAGTCAGCATAGCGAGATTGCGTCGATAACGGAATGGGTATATAATTTCTAGGATTCTGAAGCAAAGGTACCGAAGTCATAAGGAATAAAGAATGAAACGAGCAGAAAAAT